ACAGACAATTTGTTATCACATTACGAAGCGCTCAATATCACTGACAGCTGTGTTCTAAGGAATAGACTACACGGCCGTGTCTAAGCATCGGCCGTGACAAGATTTAAATTGAAACAATTATTTAGTAAATCGTTCCCAAAATCTTTGGCAAAGAAATGTTATAACGTTAACATTAAGAACAGATAAATCTTATTTGTGTGTCACATTGTGGTTCGTCTTGGATAGTTTCTATGCGAAATTATTATTGTATAAAGCTTTTACCTACTTTATTTAAATGTTTTTGCTTCTCTTTCGAACATATACTGTGTTTACTAAGATAATACAACTACAACTAAATGTGGGAGAGCCATGCATCGGCACGAATGGGCCGGCACGACCGGAGTGATACCACGGCCTCACAGAAAACCGACGTGAAGCAACGCTTGCGTTGTGTTTCATCGTGTGGGTGAGGTTACCGGAGACCAAATTACCCTCCCCTTCCCCAATCTCCCCAATCCCTGAATCCCCATCGATCGTCAAACTACTAATCCCCAAAAAGCCGGTAACCCACTTGTAACGCCTCTGGTGTTCCAGGTGGCCATGGGCGATGCCGATTGCTTACTATCAGGTGATCCGTCTGCTCGTTTACCGGCTTATGCCATAAAAAAACTCCAAAAAGCAAGAACATATTTGAACAAAATTGTTGTCTAACCGAGGTCTTAAAACATAACATAACATAACTTCACGCCTGTCTCCCATGGTGGTAGGTAGAGACTAGGAAACGTCAATTACTACGATTCCTACATACCTCTTTCGCTTCATCAATAGTCATATCAACAGACTTAAAATATAAGCTATAAATAACAACCCATTCCTTTTTTTGTTCATAACACTGTTAGCCACGAGTGTACTTGCAAACGGCATAGTTGTTCGTCCCGAGCACTCATTCCAGTCGCGCTGAAAATTTCCGGCGCGCGCCACGCACACTCTGATCACATACGTTATGTCGGAACTAGTCTGCTATGCGGTGCTTGTGATTAAAGCCTTGGAAGTCTAGATAGCTTTTACTTTGAATCTAAAGATGTATGTAACGTGAGATTTATAATGTTAATATTGTTAGGACTTAACAAAATAATCATTCTTTTGAAAACAACGTTTAAAACAACCGACTTCAAAGCCCCTCTTTTTTAAATTGGGTTAATTAATAGACTAAACCCCTTCTACTAAGTGTAAAAAACACTTTTTTGAAAACGACATCAAAATCGGTTCAGCCAGTCACGAGATAATCACATACAAACATACATACATACTACAATTCAAATTAAGAACGTCCTTGTTTTGAAGTCGGTTAAAAAATTAGTACACACAAAATTTTTTATCACAGACTGCACTCCCCATATTTTAAAAACAAAAAACATTACTCTTCTTTTGAAACAAACTTAACTACAAAATTAATTATGCCATGTTTTGTATTTCAATTTCCAACCACGTTCTATGTATTTGAGAATCTCGGTTTACTGTGATTTATACAAATCCTAACAATTTTACAGACATAAAATAAAAAAAGCGTATAAGACGTAACTAAATCAACAAATTCCGTGCACATTCTCTTCTACGTATATTAATTTCCAAGTAAATGAACCTTTTTGGTACTAATCAGATAGAAGTAAAAAAAAATACTCAAAAATCGATTATAGTTTCGGAGCCTTGTTTAGCACTCGCCGACACATTATTTGGTTTGCATCAAAGGGATATCTGCTGTCAAAAGTTTGGCCCTTCCAACGAGACGTGAAGTATAAACTGGCAATTTTACTGGAACGTCCGAATGTTACTGGCTACTAATTGACGTAGTTAGCTCGTTGGGAAACTGAATTAATTGTGAACAAGACTGTTGACCTTGGCCACTATAATTGTGTTATTTATTTAGAATACGATGCAACTGTACGGGTGGACGGACATATTCGGATTAAAAGACTCAAATTGTCTGTTTTCGTGTAAATATACAAGTTGAATGGATTTATGGAAATAAAATAGACGATTTGTTTGTTTGTTTATGTGAGTAAAGTAACATTTTTTGTGCATGTAAATAATTTTAATGTCATTCACAAGAACTTAAGTGTTCGATTTGATTTTTTTTTCTATTGTATGTTGTTTGTTATTTAAAAAAGTTTGACATCATTTTTAAGACAGTTGTAGTCACCACTCTAGTTTTTTATATAGACAACTTTTTTATTAAAAGATTATTTTGCACCAGAGTCGAGTGAAAGTCTCACTGATATCAAAAAGTTATGTTAAGTTTAATATCGTACGTGACAAGTGTTGATCTTATTCAACTAAAGTTAAACCCTTTCATGCTTCACTTAGACGCTGAAAAAACACCAGCCTGAAACATTTTATATTTTCCTTTCATTTTAAAAACTAAATTCTGCGGTAAATCAAATAAATAATTTGCATTCACCGCAGGCTGCGTTTTTACGTTGTTTATTTATCAATCTTTTTACATTTAATTTATTTAAATATTTTATCAGCAAATTGTTTTGACACCGATGAAGCTGTAAGGCTTTTGACTCTTACTGAAAAGAGACGGCCTTGAGATTTTTTGCGATACTAGTTAAACTGTCAAACACCGAGCGGTCACCGGTGACCGCAACCTATTGTTCTTTAATTGTGTCAATAAATACGGTACTCGACGAGTTAATGTATTTTTGTAACCTTAGGAAATATAGGATTTCAATAACCTTGGCAACATTATAACTCTTGCTTTTTCCAAAACGATACTACAAAACAACCCCCTGTAGTTATTTACAAAACAAAAACAATTTTTCATTTGTTCACAACTCGTAGTTATTCGAGCGCAGAATCAATATAGAGAATAACTTCAAAAGTCCAGTGCAATCAAAATAATAACATAAAAGTAAATATCGAAAGGACAAACACACAGACAGACAGACACGCAACAATGGAGTTTGTTTGAGTACCCATTACTTGAGACTTGGAGACTTGCTAAATGGACTGCGCTGTGTATTGACGCTGGTCGAGGACGGGTGTATGCGATGAGAAAAGAAAATGGTTTGATCCTTTAATACCTTTGGACATTATTCGTGGGAAGCCATGTGAAAGGATGCAATATTAATGTAGAACTGTCAATTTTTTTCTTTTTTAAAGTCATCTTTTTTTAAGGGGGGAAAATCATCGTATGGCTTCTCCCGCCTGGATGAGGCGGGAGGGAGTGTCAGACTCTTACTGACTAAATTGTTTTTAGTTTTCCTTCTCCAGCACGTCGAGCCGGAGCCCCGGTTACCCGTTAGGTTCTCCGCGACTTTAAAAGTTGTCTGTTCCATTGGCCGAGTGGTCGAAGTGCGACTGCCGGGTAAAGGGTGTCGGGTTCGAATCCCGAGTCGGGCAAAGTATTACTGAGTTTTTCTCTGTAGTAACACGGAGTCTGGAATTGTGCCCGGTATATAGCAATAGGCTCATCCCCTATGACATTGTACAGAGGAATTAAGTGCCGTAATGTGCACTTCTGCCTACCCATTTCAGGATAAAAGCGTGATGTTACGTGATGTGTGTGTTTTTTAAAGTCTTGAAACTGAAACTGTGTTTGGTGTAATTTGCATAGATGTAGAAGTGCAAGTATTATTTGTTGCATTTAATCCAAGAGTAAAAAGCCAGATAGAAATGACGACTACGTATTTTCCAGATTGCCGGTTAAGTCAGAAAAAAGTGCTTAGGTATTACTAGATAACCAAAAGACAACTATATTTCTATCCTACAAGCGCCCACTTTAAAGTCATTAGTAAGGAAGCCGTCGATTTGTTAAAAATATCTTTTTAAAAGGTGTAGTAGCCACATCTGTCTAGACGGGAAGTCGAACCTAACGTGTAAAGAGACACTGTGCTCCGGCTATCGAGTTGCGGCATGTTGCTCAAACAAGATAAGGTTTCAAAAACACTGTTTGTTACATCTTCCGGACCATTAGGGCGGGTCCACAAATAATAATTTTAGTTATATTTCGACAGTTTTTAAAAGACTTAGACGTTTTATGCTTGCATGTCCTTATAATTAATGGTACATTTTTGTAACCCTCGACTATTTAACTCTAAGTTTGTAACAATAAATTTGAAAATAGGGTTCGACTGTGTCTACTTAAATCCTTTCAGTCAAAAATCTTTCAGTACATGTTCAACTGCACTGTTTCGACAGCACGGTTGGCGCGGTGGTTGGGCAACTGACTGCCGCACAACGTGTCGCGGGTTCGGTCCCGCACGGAACAACTCTTTGTTTGATCCACAGATTGTTGTTCCGGGTCTGGGTGTCATGTATATGTGAACTTGTATGTTTGTAAACGTACCCACGACACACGAGAAAGTCCTAGTTTAAGGCAACAACATTTTTAAGAAAAAAAAAATGTTGGCTCGTTCTTGAAGATGTATACTATCTATATTGCATCGATGACTGGACGGTTGGTGCGGCGGGTGGCCAACTGGCTACCGTGCAACGGGTAGCGGGTTCGATTCCCGTTCGGAGCAACTCTTTGTGTGATCCACAAATTGTTGTTCCGTATCTAGGTGTCATGTGTATGTAAAGTTGTATATTAGTAAATGCAACTACAACACAAAACAGACACACAGAAAATCCTAGTGTGGGGCAACGTTATTAAAAATAAAAATATATAAAAGTGATGCTATCATAAGCATAGTAATACTATAAGGAGAAAAATTTGTTCCCTACCATTAGAAATTGCACCGCCCACATAACTGAATGACATAAAGGTATCTAAGTTCATAAATAAGTCAGAGTGATATTGAAAAATAGTATACAATAGAATCAAATGCGTAGGAAAAGTGAACTTGAATAAATTCTAGTGTCAACTATTTCAGCTGTTGCTTGCAATCAATACTTTAGCAAATCCTAACTTCTTTATTTTACTGTTTGCTACTTAACTTGCATTTCATATAACAATGTAGTTCATACGAAAATGGTATCTATACTTTGAATATATAGGTATAATATAGCAAAAATTAAAATCCATCGATCTTTCCAAGGTCTTTGCTACAATAGAGGACATTATGTTATAGTACATTCCAAAATAAATAATATTTGTATTTGTATTGTATTTGTACTACTTACCAATAAAGATTTGTTAAAAATAAAACACTACATACGCTCAGTACTACATTCACTGCTATTACAAAAATTTTGAAAATAGACCAAGTCTTAATTTTGACCTTGATCCGGAATTTGAATTTGAAACATCGAAATCGAACTAATTACTTTTTGAAAATCAAATAAATGACTCTATTAGTGTGGATTTAGCTATAACTACTATACTAATCGTTTAAGGTGGTTTCTGCCTACCCCTAGAGCTCAAAAGCAAACTCGTTTGACTCGTAGAACATTCAAGTTAAATACGCGGAAGTACTATCGATAAGCGGTTTCAGTTTACGATCCACACATTTAACTACATAATATAAAGCTTCCAGAATGGTCCACTTACCCTCTTTTCCTAAATACACCCATATAGTCATGTGCTATCAAAATTATTATCGTATTGAAAATTTAAAACTTTAAATATATGATTTTATACTCTATAGCGAAAGTGATCACGTTTAAGGCTGTAAAATGTTTTTTCTTTTAATTATTAATCTGAATAATGCTTTCGCAGGCCGAGAACCAAACTGCAACTCATTACATCAACTTGATTTTTTTCTATTATTTCTTATTAATATATGGCAATGTAATTAAATATAGTATTTTATAATAAGAAAAATATGGCAACCCTGCTTATGTCGCTCCTCCTCTATGGTTGTAGGACGCTTGTTAGAAAGTTTTTTTTTTGTTTTGAGTTCCATTTTGATTATTAAAACACATTTTCAGTATATAAAACTGTGTTCTTTATTAAAATCTAACATTTCTTAACTCAATGTAAATTGGAATCATCGACTAATCTTTATCATGCCATAGAAGAAAATAGTAGCATAGAATAACGTCTGAAGAAAGTCTTTAAACCTATATAAAAGGTTTACTAAAATGATGATACATTAATTCTTATTTCTTCTATTATCTAAGAATTTTGAAAAGCCCGAAATTATATTAAATCCCGTTATATATTTCAATATTACGAGATTGTGTAAGTTTTTTCCAAAAAAAATATTTTAAATAGATCAAAATATAAATTATTATTTAAGGCGTAATCCTTACTAAATGCGAAAGTGTATACATATGTTTGTTTGTTCATCTTTCTTTCACGGTCGCAGTAAAAACGATTTTTTGAATGAATTTTTTTCAAGCAAACTCGCGAGAAACAACTAGTCCTTCAATAAATAAACGTTGTTATACTTTCTAAGAAGGGTCTAGATCCAGAAATTAATTTAGGTCACGTCGATATTGATCTATTTAAATTAGGCTGTAATTTAAGAAGCATTTTATCTCATTGCGTTTTATCAGATATTATTATAACCTTGAAACGTAAAACGTACGTTTAACATAATAAATAAATCAATAGGTATTTTATGTCACATAGGTACAGTAAAAATAATTTTACTATAAGAAAATCTCAGTAGTAGCACGGAGTCTGGAACTGTGCCCGGTATATGGCAATAGGCTCACCCCCTATTACATGGGACTCATAACATAAATAGTGAAAAGTGGGTGTTACATTGTACAGTGGTATAATGTGCACCTCTGCCTACCCCTTCGAGGATAAAAGGCGTGATGTTATGTTATGTAACTTTTCAGAAAATAACAGTCAACACTTTGTTATGTAATTAGCCATAAACTGTAATTTGGACTAAATTTTTCAAGTTATTGTTGTCAATTTATTCAATCTCATTAAAAAGTCAACCATTACACGCCTAATGCAAAATGGAAATATTTATTTTCTCCTATTTTAAAATAAAGAACAAAAGAGAAAAAACCAAGAGATTGTAAGAAAATGTAAGACGTAAAAAACCAAAATAATATCACAAAATAATTTTCTATTTCTAAATCGCATAAAAATCTCCAGTCCGTAAATTATTAGATCACCAACCGAACGGCTAACAGCGACCTCTGGGGTTACACATCATAAACGTTTACTGCTGAAAGTTGACCTTTACAGGTGATTTCAGTAAAGTTATAAATTCTAATTATCAAGCCTAGAACGGCTGAATTTCAATAGCAAGTTCGGTAGCCATTGAGTTCAATAGTTTAGGAACGTATTAGCAACTAGGAACGTACATTTTCACCTTCCTGTCTATACCTTAAATGAAGTAAGAATACGTCATTATAAGCTACCAAATACCGATTTAGTTCCGATTGAATTAGAGTTACCAAAAATCAAAAATATAATTGCACCATAAGACAAAAAGCAATAAATGAGAAGTTGATCCAAGTAATAATCAAAACTTGTTTTTCGACCCAGGAATCAAATATAGAATGTTGACGTTTAATTCAAACAATCATTAATGTATTATAATGGCTGGTCTGGTGGTGACGTAAATTACCGACAATTACCATTGACCGAAACAATAATACCAAAAATAAGTCAACTTCAAATGTCTGTTAACCAGAATCCGAATAAACTTAATTCACAACATAATAATATAAACTACGCAAATTAATATTTAACAATAACAATTGTTTTCGTCACACAACAAAGTGGCGGTCCTATTATCCTCTATAACAATGGCCGTGAAATTCAAAGAATTATCCCTGAAAAAAACATTTATGAAAATCCTGTAAAACAATTAAGAAACCTCAAGGTGAACCGCAGACGGTGTAGGTGTGTGGGGATCTTAGAACCATTTTGCGTCGTTTGAAAATGTGCTGTGATTTTCAGTTAGACTAGATAAGTTACAGAACGCCACACAGCCTACAAGCATTACATGATATAAAATAAATAATTATGCGTCTGTCTGAAGTAGAAACTAGTATAATACGTATATTATACGGCGATATATAATAAAATAAGGAAAGAAAATAATACGTTGGAGTGCTACTACTTACCTTGTTGAATATAAAAGTCTTTAACAATACGAGAACTTTCGTGCAACCAGTAAAATACACTGATCGAGCTGTAAAAATACACAGTCAAAAATAATACTTTAAAAGTTTGTTTGTCGAAACATATAACCAATTAGTACCGTTCATATCAAAACGTATGTTTGCTCAAAATTAATTAATTAAAAATATGATTTCAGACGTTTTGTTTCGCTTAAAAAAACCCTACCATTTTATAACATTATAGTCACATTTCTACAGATTCGATTTAATTTCTGTCATTAATCACACGAACGGATTAATTTATTGTTTTTGTTAATATGTACAAAACCTTGTTTAACATTAGGTACATAGGATGAAAATAAATAAAGGTTGTTTTTGTGACAGGAACTCTATACAATTTATGTCCCAGAAAAAACTAAATCGACTTAGTCGTCACCTACACAATTCGGCCGTAGTTTATATTCATATCAAAAAATACCATCTCGAATGCTAAACACTCGAAAACATTTATTGTATAGGCACAACACGTCGTAAAAATATAAATTTCATCTTACTCTTACATTAAATTTACTGCGTCTATGTTATATTTTTGAACGCTTGCCAAATATTTAGTGATATTGTAAAATTAAGTTAAATAGTAGTAAAATACTTACGGACAAATATGTTGGACATCAGAGTGGCTGGTAAACAGAACACGATGACGAGGATGTCAGCGACTGCCAGGTTCACGATAAAGAAGTTGGTAACAGTTCTCATCCGCGGCGAGCGATACACCACGGCTATCACGAAACAGTTCCCGATAAGTCCCACGAGAAACACAAGTAAATACGCGGCGCAGTACACTGCCGTCATCGCGCCCCCGTGCCGGTACATCACCTCGTCGGATATCATCTCCAGGTCGGACCGGTTCAGCGTCATATTCATCCGCAGAGGATGGTGCCGGTCCATGGCACCCTCCATGTGCGTCGACAGCGGCTCCAGGTCCGGTAGCACGCTGTTGTCAGGAACAAATTTACTGTTCATCGCCTCCATGATGGAGTTGGACAGAATGTCCACCATGTTGTGCTTGTGACTCTCCCTCATGTGCGAGTGGTTGTGGTGACGCCAGTGATGCCGCGGCTCCTGACTAGCGTGTGTCGAGAAATTATACGTAGCATCCTCACTCAAGAAATCATTCGACGGAATCCTTAAAGGTGCCATTTCTCAATATGACATTTCCGCTAAAACAATAACACTAAACTGTCAACAATTCGAAATTATTACTATAAAAAATAATAATTACACATCACTAAGTTAATTCTAATTTATTTATTATTCGTTTCACACATCAAAAGTCAGCAAAATAATATTTTTATTCACAGCACACGAAAACGTAAACTCTAATGTTCCATTAGAAAAGTATGAAAAGTTCCGGGGGTTCGGCGCGGCAAGTCGTAGCAGGTCTACGCGCGGTTGGTTTGGCGTTCGCGCGCCGTCTGCCCGTAGCAGCGCTACGAGCTACGAGCCGCGTAGGCCCGCGCGACGCATGTGCATTTTAAGGAACGCACAGACATAAGATATGCATTTCCGATACACTTTATTGCTATGGGAATAAGATATAAATTGGTTTGGCGTGGATTTCAAAGGTAGAGTAATAGTTTGTTCACTTGGAAAGCTATCGAAAATGCATTAAAAGTAACAGAGTTAGCGTTTCCAATACATTTTTACTGTAGCGGAGTGAAATAAAATGTGAAAGTTAATCAACAAATAAATAAAACTTTCAATGTGAATATATTGTGAAGCAGTATTATTGTGTTACAGGTTTTATACGAAACGAGTACTCTTATCATAACTTTTTTATTGTAGAGCTGAGTTATTGTGTGCGGTAGATATTATTTTATGAACTCACGTACTGAACGATGAACTACATTCTACTAATATTATTAGTTGAACAAATACGTCGGGCGGACATCAAACTCGTGACCCAGAACATTAAAACCGACCATACAGGATTTATTGAACTAAAATATTTATGATCGCTTTCTCTAATCCCAGTTTAAGTCCCGGGTCAATCAAAATGGTATATTCTACGTCAACGTAAGGACTTGTACCAATATTTTCCAACATTTTGTGGGTTAGGCAAACTCAGAAGAATATTATGTAAAAAAACAGTTATCTTGAGAGATTAATCTCGTTATTTGAGTGATTATTTAGGTTGGATTTTTGGTTTGATTTTAAAGTGGTTTCCTTAAAACGTAAGCTTAAAGTCTTTCTATATTTGTTACATACATAACATCACGCCTTTTATCCCCGAAGGAGTAGGCAGAGGTGCACATAGAAGTAACACCCACTTTTCACTATTTATGTTATGAGTCCCATGTAATAGGGAGTGAGCCTATTGCCATATACCGGGCACATTTCCAGACTCCGTGCTAATACTGAGATTTTTTTTTAAAACCAGTAATAATTTACCCGACCCGGGAATCGAACCCGAGACCCCTTGCCCGGCAGTAACACTTGTAACCACTTAGCCATCGAGGCAGTCAGTCGTCAGTATATTTGTTATTATAACAAAAAAACGTTAACATCGAAATACTTGTCTGAATGGTTAATTATCAGATCTAAAGATTAACCACTCATTATGATATGAACACCACACAAAAACATTTTAAATAAATTTAGGATTTAATATCAATATAGAGTTTCGCATAACTATTAAATAAAATTTTGAATAAGATGAGCGCTGAAGATGTTCCTAACGATGCGACGCGAAATGTCAAGGGCTCAACTGCTAACCCAGTTAAGTATTAGCAGGAAATATTGGTCCTTGATACTCGGACTATTAAGGCAAACGGAAGTTTTTGAATTGCAATAACTGCAATATTAATAATAGTTTTCAGCATTTTAGGTGGTTTGTTAATTTTGCAGTTTAAAAATCAAAAGTTTTTAATCTTAGTCCTTATTAAAACGTTCCTAAAATACATATTCTAATAGGTATAAATTATCATGATACAATAAATAATATAGGGAAAAAGAAAAAAAAACCATACCTGAAAACTCTCACCTTCCAACTAATATTATACAAAGATTTTCCGGAAGTACCTCTTATGGTATTACCTGTAGCTACTGAAGGACATCGCCCACTTAGATTTATAATATTTGTAACAAAAAATAAACTATTATTTATAAGAAAGGACAAGGCTGAACACGTGTTCAAGAAAATTGTTTTGACTGTAAGTGACAGCCACCTATGAAGACTCACGTTTTCAAAAAACCAACTTAACTTTGCAGCTGATAATGTCGCTACTATATTTGTCACTTGTAAGATTACAATCATTTTATAAAGAGTTTTGAAAGTTCCTATTTTGGCCACCTGTATTGATAAGTTGGTAAATTTGTGACTGGCGTTGAATGTTAAATAATATTTTAGTTCAGTGACGACATTGTTAGTCAATTGAGTTTTCGGCTATTATGTAGATACATATAATACCTCTATATTATTATTATGTACGTATTGTTGTTCTATTTACTTCAAAGTTGTCTGGATTCTCTGATATAAGGAAATTGTTTGGGTGTATAAAAGCAATTGTTTTGACATCTCTGTACCTATTTTATTGAAACAGATATGTACATTTCAAGGTCATTATCACAAGCGTGTTCATTTCAAGGTCATTATCAAGTCAATCGAAGTATTTTTTAAGTAATAGTTAGTTTTTAATTTAAGTTTTTTATTTGAATAAATGAATTTAGTCAATCGAAGGTTAAGATTTATTTGCGGAAGTTGAAAATACTGATGTCGATTATAAATTTTAAGGATCGATCGTATAAAGTAGATTGAATTATAAAACTGTAATGGATGGGCTAATCTGGGGAAAATACCCAAGTACTTTAGCTCAAAAGTCTATTAACAACTATTTGGTTAACAGCACACAAAAAACATCAATTAATAAACCAGTATTGAATTGAAAACATTCAATTACATAAAACAAGCTTTAAAAACAACAAAACAAACCACGACTACTAATGTGTTTCCTTTAACTTCTAAATAATTTAAATTACCATTCAGTCGTTGAGAAGCAAAATTAAACCTTTTCTTTTATTCTAGTAGAAACTTGATTTGCCGAGCATTGACGAATGAGGTCGACAGTTTTACAATTACACTGTATTCCAGTATTCCTAGTAAATAGGTGTCTTAATGGCAAAGTTCGCATTTGATCGACCTGTCATTGAATGTAGTGACCTGATTTGATGCAACTACTGCATACTGTGTTTCTGCTTGTAAAACTACTAGACAGAGGTGCACGCATTACACGTATGTAATGTAAACTGTTGCTATATTGTCACATACAGGGTGACATTGATTGCTACTTGAATATAGAAATCAAGTAAAAACATGGTTATTATATACAGAGAACAATTCAGTTCTGTTAGTGTTAGTTGGTTCTGTTTCCACTAGTACGGTACTACTGTAACGGACATCGAACTCGACATTTCCTCATCAACATTTATTGATGCAATAAATCCATAAAATTAGCAATCTTGCTTACATTTTCGACAATTCCAATAAAACAATTCGACATCAAAATAAATACAACAACTCAACAAAATCACAACCATTGTTACTAAAGGCTACGAACAATATAAAATGCTTGAGTCTCATCAATTTGTAATCAGAATGGAGGTAATGCATTTGACATACTTTCGTTGGATCGATGGCAGTATGGTAGACAGTGGAGCTTCACAAATCGTCCATATTTAATACCTTAAACGTCCACTTACAGGTTGCTACTTAATCTTAGCCTCGGGCCCTCGGGCCTCATAATTGCTGATAAACGTCTCATGGCTGGAACTACATGATTGATCTGTGAGGTCAAACTGCTCCACTCTGTTATTACGTAGATGGATTAATAACTTCTTCATTTCATGTCTAGGAGAGGGCAATTGTACGACAAACCCTGATTGCAGCTGTTACGTAACAATGAAGTTTTCCAGGCATTAAACTAGACAGGTAAATACTAGATTAAAGGCAAAATAAAAATTAATTTTCTCAGTTCTTGAACTATGTGTAATGTCTTAATCAGTAATTCGTGGGTGGTCTCTTAATCTGAACATACATTCAACACGATTATCCGAAGAACATTACATAATTATTACCATAACTTTACCCCAGGGAGAACAAGATTTTAAGTTCCGCATACAATAGTACAATGTCGTATAATATTATGGTAACTAGAGAAAATGTTACAAAAAGGTAAGAGCCGCTATTATGACTACCTAACAAAAACCCTATAACGTTTTCGAAGTAACTGAAACAATCTTTATTAAAAAATCAATGTATATTTTGACACTACTTTTATTCTAATAAGGTACGGTTTCTGTCCGTATTAAAAAAAAATCAGAAATGTGCAATAACAATAACTCTCCCTAACTCCAACATCCATCTGGAAGCAGTGTACCAGGCCCCTTAATACAGTGAGGTCCCTTCTGATGGCTGTTCTAATCGGTTATGTTGGAAGGCTTCAAGGTCAAGATCATTGTAGGCCTATCGTTACACCAGTAGAGACCATTTCACTCTGAAGGTCGACCGTAAACTTAACGTAATGTTGTGTGTAATTAGTTTGTTCAGTTGGCATCATTGGGTGATGGACTACCTTTGTGGAACTGTTTGGGATGAACATAATAGCGGCTGTTATGGTTGGGTGCCAGTTTTGGATGAGTTTCTTTTTGTACGATTTGATCTAATTTTGAATAAGTAGTTTATAGTATTTTGATCAGTTGTTAGTTGTTAACTGTAAAAAATTCGATGTTACTACTCAAGGATAAATATTATTGGTTTTTACTTTTAAGAACAAAACAATTCGTTTTGGAATTATCGTTATTGTAGAAACTTTCTATTAACAAAAACCTAATAGAAGTAAAATATCGGAAATTGAGAAGCTCAATATAGAATCTAAACTAGAGTCAATTTTTAATAAAATGTAAAGGAACAAGGTTTCGCTTTATACAGGAGCTAAATTATTGTAGCTATTATTAATGTGTGTTTCGACACATTTTTAAAAGGAAAAGAAGCGACCAAATACCACTTTCCTTCTTTACCATACTTCGGTGCCGATGAACGGCATTGAGTCGCCAGCTTATTTGGCCCCCTCTCCCATAAAAAGATGTTAAAACATGACCTTCGATGGTTCTTACAATTCGTAACCTGGCCATACCATAAACAC